GATAACAAAGACTAATGAAACCATCAAGTATAAAGACAAAAGAAATAAGCATGCCATGTACATGAATATTTCATAAGTCATATATGTTCTATGTTATATTATGTATGGTTATGTTATGACTTATGTTTATGAGAAAAGTTCAAAGTGTATGATATGTTTTATGAACTTGTTATGTCAAAGAATGAAGGTTATGTTTTGTAGGTAAGAAGGTCCTAAGTAATATACTTGTATAATGAACCTTAATAGTTTTTAAATGGCCATATTCCTTACTGAGCGATTAGCGCTCACCCCACGAAATGTTTTGCAGGTAAGGATTAAGACATGAAGCTGGGAGAGCATTCCGAGGGACGCTATGAGTATGAAGGGATGCTTTAATTATGACTATTGAATGGTTTTGCTAGTATTTAGTGTAGTAATTATGTTTATATCTCATAATGCAGTACATATGTCCATGTTATTATGGAGTATATATGTTTGTGTTAATAAAGGAAATCAAATTGCTACTAAATTTTGTAAAAGTCTATATGTTCTCGTAAGTACTGCTATGGATTTCATAATGTACTCCAAGAAAGGAAACTACATTTTTTACTTTTACAATGAACTTATTATAGTTTAGAAATTAAATTAAAATAAAAATAGATATATTTTTTTAAACTACAAGTTTATTCTTTAAATAGGATTTTAAAATAAACTTCTTTCCTAGGCGTGTGTTTTCTAGGTTCTCAATGGCCAAGGGATACTTAGGAAATACTCGGCTAGGGAGGGTTTTACAGCCTTGGTGAACTTTACCCGAGCCCATCAGATTCCCAGTCGAACAGTCCTGAAATTCACACTTGTTAGGAAAAAAATTTAAGACACAGGCATTATCTTGACATAGTTTGGAAACAGAGATGAGATTGAAATGGAAAGCAGGAACCAACAAGACATTATGAAGGATTAAATGTTGATTGAGATGAACAGTGCCTAATTGAGTGGCTGGTGCATGTGTTCCATTAGGCATGCGGACTGAGGTGTAGGGTATATGGGATGTGTGGCAAAAATGTTTGGGGTCGCAAATGATGTGGTCACTGGCCCCTGAATCAATTATGCAAAAATCTTCTTTGGTGATATTGGAACAAAAAGATGCATAGGATGTTGTATTGGCCTGTGGACTTTGATTCAGCATTTGCAGGATCTGACGATACTGTTCTTGGTTGAACATAGGAGCCGCAACATTATTCTCAGAATTGACAGGATGACTTACTTGATTGGCAGTGGCCGATCCAGACCGTTGATTTTGGTTGCGGCCATGAAGTTTCCAACACGTGTCTCACGTGTGGTTCCTCCTTTTGCAAAAATTGCAATAACGATTTTTGTTGGACTTGAAGGGCCCATGAGAGGGATTAAAATTGGTGGAGTGGACTGGGCTATTTCCCGAATTTAGGCCAGCTGCAAAATTTTGGACGTTTCTGGGATTTGGGCTATGAACAAAAGGTGAGCCCAAACCATTATTAAGCTTAGTTGAGTGTGAGCCATTGGATGAAGAGGAGGGATCTGAGCCATTGATGCCTCCATATAAAAAATGGTTGTCCCTGTCAGTGTGCCCTAGCCGCCCCTTTTCGTTTCCATTCTTCATCTCAGTCTGCCGTTGTTGGGGATGGACCGTGAAAGCCGCAGCTTCAATGATGGGTTGGGTTTTAGACGAAGCCGACCTCTGGCTCTCGTCTTGCACAGCTAGTTGGTAGGTGTGCTGGAGAGATGGCGCTGGTGTCGTATCCAACATCTGAGTTCGAAAAGACAAAAAATTGTCATTCAAACCAAGCAAAAAATGTACTAACCTGTTCTGATCTTTCAGGTGCTGGATCTGGTGAAGAATTGTGAAGGGCCCTTCAATCGGTTCTTCAATAGCTTCGAGCTCGTTCTAAATCGCCGAAAGGCGATTGAAATATACTATGACTGGCAGGTTGTGTTGTTTGATTTCGAGGAGATTTTTGCGCAAAGTAAAAATCTTTGCGAGATCAAGTTGGCCATTCATCTCTCGGATGTTTGTCCACATTTCATGTGCGTTTTCTGTCTGAGGCAAGTCGACAGCAATCTCCTGGGTCAGGGAGTTGTTGATTCAGGCGCGAACGAGGGTATTGCACCGGATCCAGTGCTGGATTAGATGCGGTTCAGTGGGTTGGGGAAGGGTTCCATCGATGAACCCTTCTTTATTTTTGGTTACCAGAGCTCGCTGGAAATCTCTGGCCTAGGTGGCATAATTTTGGGAGCCTGTTAATGGTTGTTTAACGAGCATGAGTTCAGAGCCATCGAAAATCAGTGAGAAAAGGGGATCCCCTGGTTCCGGTCGATCGGTGGAGGCTGGGAGGATTTGGAAAAAGGGGTAGGGATTCTGACCGGATGAGTAGGGATTTTGACTCATCGGGTTAGGGTTTTGACCCATAAACTCGAATGGAAATGGGCCGGGTTGAAAATGGAAGCTGAGTTGTTGGTTGGGCTCTGGTGGATGATTTTGACCAGTGTGGATGTTTGGGCCTAGTGGAGTTTGGTTGTGTGGGCTGTCATTTGTGGCTATGGATTCTGAGTCTAGTTCAATTGTTGTTTTGGTTGAATCCATTTTGTGAAGTTTGAAAAACAAAAAAAAAAACTAATCTTATGGCCTTGTTTTGCAGGTTTAGAGAAACAATGACTTAGAGAGGATTGTAGCGGAAGCAAAGGTTGTGCTTTGATATACCATGTCAGAGTTAAAGATTGAAGGTGGCAAAAGGGCCACAAGACTGCCGAAGAATGCCTACAAAGGGAGCTTGATAAAAGGGCAGAAATGAAGACCAAAGAATATCAAGCAAGAGACAATTGTAATTGTATTACTTGTATATTGTAAAGAGTATATGAGCCAATTTATACAATGACTTTGAATACAATAAAGGTAATGAAATAATACAGTAAAGGAAACACAATAAACAAAATATTACAATGTACAATCAAATAATTGTAAATCAACAATTGCTTGATTCCAGCATGAATATCTTCAGCATTCCATATTTCATATTAGATAATGTGGGTCACATGTCAGCAGTCTGTTTCATAATCTATTGAAATTAGAGTTTTCAATAAGGACATAGCAGCCTGTTCTTCCCCTGTTCTCGGCGGAGACAAGCATGTTATCAGTCGGGAAGAGCATAACTTGTCGTGTGCTTTCATTACTTTGCCTCTCAAAATCTTGTATTTGTATTTTAGTTACTTCAATTTTGCTTAGTGTAATATTTTGTCAAAATCAGGAGAAGGAGCAGTAAACTGGAGGAACAAGTTGTCTGCTTTTGATAGATCTACATTAGATTTCATTAAACATCAATCAATCTTGGTATAATATTATTTCCTGTCACGAAATTTTTACAAAGACATACTATTATATGCAATATGCCTGTGGATTCTCTTCATATGCAGCCAGGTGACATGTTGTGATAACAATCATTACGTTATAAATATTGTAATACTTCAGAAAGGAATTAAAAATGATGCAATTTCTGGATAAATTAGTACTAGCTTCTGATCTGGTATAAAAAAAAAATTACATTTGATTGAGATAATGCAGCACTGTACTTTGTGTAACTTCATCTGATTTGACTCTGAACTTCCCCTTTACTAAAGGGAAAAAAGGGAAAAAAAAAAAAAAAAAAAAAGGATGGATTCTCCTCACTTTTATACAGATATGCTTTATTTCCCACAGTTTTTTTGGTTGAAAAAGAGACGGTAGGTAAAGCCTAAAATAGCCATTGAAATTTAGTTCAACGAGCCTAAAAGAATTGTTGTTGAAAAAAGAAACACCTTGATTATACAGAATCCATAGCACTAGAAAAGTTTTGGTGACTTTATATAAAGTTTTCATCACTTAGGAGAATGGTTGATACTTGTGTTTTTTTACTGTTCTATTTCAGTCTTGTCAACAGAAATGTAGTCATCAACAGAGTAAAACTTATAAAAGTGAACTTATAACATTAATCAAATGTGAAAATGATAGCCTCAAATACTCTTTTCAAAGTTATTAACAGAGTAAAACTTATAATATTAAAATTTATGAGAGGAGAATTAAATTATATTTGGAAAATCTTGAGTTTACTTAAGCTCGAAGCCTCTATAATTAAGTAAGAGTAAACGACATTTTCCCATCCAGGGTTTGGCAAATCTCCGTGCCCACCCCTAGTTTCATAAATTACAGATTCCCACCCTTAAATTAACACCGATACTTTTCTCTAAAAATAACCACTACATCTCAAATTTCTCTCAAATAACCCCCAAAGGATCCCAACTAAGCCAAGAATCCAGCCTAATTCCGGCACCATTGGACCTCCCTGACATCACCATTAACATCCTCTTATCCTTCTCACTCGATTGCAACTCGGCGAGGTGCCAACATTTGGCTGGAAAGGTGCGACAAAACGCGAAAACCTAAGGGAGAGGCGGCGACGATCGGCAGGCAATTGCGGTCGGCAATGTTGGGGTTTTTTATGGGGGGAAGCCAGTGATGCTATTGGTGGTGTTAGGGGTGGTTTCCAGTGCCGAGACCCGTTGGAATTTGGATAAAATGCCGATTGAAACTAAGAGTAGCGGCTAGCGATTGGGGGTTTAATAAAGCAAGGAGGTTAGGGGTTTTGATGTGAGGGTTGAGGGGATTGTAATGGTAGTGTCGAGAGAGGTCAGCTGCGTCGAGAACAAGTCGGAATGGCTTGAAATCGCCGGTGGGGTGAATTTGAGAAGTCAAGGGTTATTTTGAAATTTTTTGATGGAGTTAATTTGAGAAGTGAAAGGTTATTTTGAAATTTTTATCTTTGAAATGCCCATTTTATCCTTTTAACTATTAGATTAACCAGTTAAAGGTGGAAATATGCAATTTATGAAACCAGAGTGGGAACTTGTAGATTTGTCAAACCTTGAGTGGGCAAATGTCGTTTACTCAATTAAGTAATAACGTGTACAGGTACAAAAGGAGGATAACAGAGTGGCGCTTACACTTTATATAGACAATAAAACCTCCGATAACTAAACATGTAGGATTTAACCTTTATTGAACAAATAAAAGACTTCAGTGGTTTTTTCCACATAATATTACAGTATTATGATCAACAACTCTGGTTCAGTAAATGATACCTCTTTCTCCTTCATGGTGGTTTTTTCCACTTTTTATTAGTAACATATTCATATGCTGCAAAGTTTAGGTCTTTCTTGGTCTCCACAGACTGAAATCCTTGAAGCAGATAGTGAACAAACCCCTGCTTCATTTGCTGTTTTTTCTTGAAGTAAACAACTGCTGAGACTGTTTACAGTGAGCAATTGCTCCCTCGATTGAATTTTCGATCTCCGAATTCGCACTGCTACTCCTCTTGAGCAACTGTAAATCATAAAACCTGAGTGAACTGAATGAAAAAGATGAAGATGAAGAAGAACCAGATGAAGATGTAGATGTTGATGAAGATAAACACTTCATTGCAGAATGCCTTTGAATTGCTCCTGAGAAGGACCTTCTGTGGACATTATTAGCACCATCCTCAACCATCTCCTTTTTAATGTTCTTGGAGAAAGTAGTAGGTATCTTGTATCTATCATTACCAATTTTTCCAAACGGGGACTTGCTTAAACAAGTGTTGCCTTTTGAAATATTTTCTGGCTCAACATCACAAGCTGCTTTGGCGCAGAACTCATCCGAACAGCCGGACTTACCAAACAAAGACATGAGATATGCCCGCGATGCTTTGAGCTTTTGACCCAGTGAAGATTTCTTAATCAGCTTGAGCTTTCTGTTCCAAGACTTCTTTGACTGATCACCATCAATGAAACCACTCATTTCAGTCGACCAGTCAAAGAAGTATTCATCTGGGTTTATTTCACTACTAACTCTGCAAGACTCTGACGGCGAAACATTACAAGATTCTAATGGGGTACTCGTATTAGTTGCAGTAGTACCAGAGCTAGTAACAAACGGAATGACACAGCTTTCTTCAGACGAATCTTGTGTTTTTTTCTCTGAGGTAGTGAGTTTTTGAACCATTAGTAAACGAGGAGGAAGGTGAAGAGGAAGGAGTTTACCCTTATAAAAAAGATCATCGGCAGGAGTAGTTGTGGACTCTCTGTCATGAGAAACAGAACACATTTGGAACTCAAACTCCCTGCTGTGTGGTGGAGAGTTGATGGAGTAACACAAGAACTTTGAGGAAGAACTAACCTCTAAATCAATATAATCATCTTCTACATGATTACATAAAGCTTGGTTTTTGGCCATCTCATGTGAACTATTTTCTCTTTCTCTCTCTGCTTGTGTGTGAAGATGCTTATGGAGAGCTGAGCTTGGTGAATGAGGAGGAGGGCAGACAGTGCATCACTTAAAAGTAAAGATGTAGACAACTTAGAAAGTGAAAAAAATTATATTGAAAACCATTGTCAGATTTTTCTTTTCTTTTTTCAATATCTTGAATGGTTCCAAATAGTAAAATGCAGATACAAATGTGGATTCAGCAGCTAGACACTCAGTGACCTATATGTCTTTGCTTATATCTTTTTCATCAGTATATATGTGGCTCCTATACAGTTACTTTTGTTTGAATTATGTTTTTTTATCTTTTCGTTTCACTTCTATCTTTTCCAAAACTTAAATTTCTGCATTCTAATGGTAAACTATTCAAATTCTTTTCTTTTTTTTTTTCCTTTACCCTTTTCAGATTGAGACTTCTTGTCACCAAAAATCAAAGTTTCAGTACTTTTAACATGTAGCAGGATTATGTGAGATCAAATCATGAATCAGAATCATTATAATTTGGTAAGGACTAAAAACCAGTGGATAAACTAGCTGGAGTACTCTTGTTTGTCTTGTTTAGTTTTCCAAGCTCTCATGCGTTGATGATTTGATGTTATGGTATTCATACTTTGAATTTGAAACGTTTTATGCAGAAGTGTGAGTATCTTCCACTACAATGGAGAAGGGGACAGTGGGTTCTTTTGTTTTTATTGATAGTTTCAATGTAATTGACTCTTCAAAGCCTATTCAACAGTGTTGAGAAAATGAAAGTAGAGTGGAAATGTATTAATCAGCATTCATCTTATTTGAAATCATGATATTGACATGCATAAAAGTGTATCCACTTAGGAGTAATTAATTGGGTTGAGTTTGAGCCCTCCTTGGGTGTTAATAAAAGTAGCCACTAGAATTCTTACTCGACGGTAGTCTCAAAGTCTCGAAAGATTAGTTAAGGTATGCGTAAACTGGCCTAAACACTCCGATCATAGAAAACAAAAATAGGTTGAGGCTTTTTAATTTCCTTAGTTTAACTGTTTGCTTTTTTTTACCCCTTTACAAATCTACATGTGCTCATGCTCTTTAGTCGTTAACTCTCATAACCCTTGGTGAACTTTACCCAGCCCATCAGATTCCCAGTCGAACAGTCCTGAAATTCACACTTGTAGGAAAAAAATTTAGACAGGCATATCTTGACATAGTTTGGAAACAGAGATGAGATGGAAATGGAAAGCAGGAACAACAAGACATTATGAAGGATTAAATGTTGATTGAGATGAACAGTGCCTAATTGAGTGGCTGGTGCATGTGTTCCATTAGGCATGCGGACTGAGGTGTGGGTATATGGGATGTGTGGCAAAAAGTTTGGGGTCGCAAATGATGTGGTCACTGGCCCCTGAATCATTATGCCAAAATTTCTTTGGTGATATTGGAACAAAAAGATGCATAGGATGTTGTATTGTGGCCTGTGCTTTGATTCAGCATTGTCAGGATCTGACGATACTGTTCTTGGTTGAACAAGGAGCCGCAACATTATTCTCAGAATTGAAGGATGACTTACTTGATTGGCAGTGGCCGATCCAGACCGTTGATTTTGGTTGCGGCATGAAGTTTCCAACACTGTCTCACGTGTGGTTTCCTCCTTTTCAAAAATTGCAATAACGATTTTTGTTGGACTTGAAGGGCCCCATGAGAGGATTAAAATGGTGGAGTGGACTGGGCTTATTCCGAATTTAGGCCAGCTGCAAATTTTGGACGTTTCTGGATTTGGCTATGAACAAAAGGTGAGCCCAAACCATTAAGCTTAGTTGAGTGGAGCCATTGGATGAAGAGGAGGATCTGAGCCATTGATGCCTCCATATAAAAAATGGTTGTCCCTGTCAGTGTCCTAGCCGCCCCTTTTCGTTTCCATTCTTCATCTCAGTCTGCCGTTGTTGGGGATGGACCGGAAAGCCGCATTTCAATGATGGGTTGGGTTTTAGACGAAGCCGACCTCTGGCTCTCGTCTTACAGACTTGTTGTAGGTGTGCTGGAGAGATGGCGCTGGTGTCGTATCCACATCTGAGTTCGAAAAGACAAAAAATTGTCATTCAAACCAAGCAAAAAATGTACTAACCTTTCTGATCTTTCAGGTGCTGGATCTGGTGAAGAATTGTGAAGGGCCCTTCAATCGGTTCTTCAATAGCTTCGAGCTCGTTCTAAATCGCCGAAAGGCGATTGAAATATACTATGACTGCAGGTTGTGTTGTTTGATTTCGAGGAGATTTTGCGCAAAAAGTAAAATCTTTGCGAGATCAAGTTGGCCATTCATCTCTCGGATGTTTGTCCACATTTCATGTGCGTTTTCTGTCTGGGCAAGTCGACAGCAATCTCCTGGGTCAGGGAGTTGTTGTTCAGGCGCGACGAGGGTATTGCACCGGATCCGTGCTGGATTAGATGCGGTTCAGGGGTTGGGGAAGGGTTCCATCGATGAACCCTTCTTTATTTTGGTTACCAGAGCTCGCTGGAATCTCTGGCCTAGGTGGCATAATTTTGGGAGCCTGTTAATGGTTGTTTAACGAGCATGAGTTCAGAGCCATCGAAAATCAGTGAGAAAAGGGATCCCCTGGTTCCGTCGATCGGTGGAGGCTGGGAGGATTTGAAAAAGGGGTAGGGATTCTGACCGGATGAGTAGGGATTTTGACCTCATCGGTTAGGGTTTTGACCCTAAACTCGATGGAAATGGCCGGGTTGAAAATGGAAGCTGAGTTGTTGGTTGGCTCTGGTGGATGATTTTGACCAGTGTGGATGTTTGGGCCTAGTGGAGTTTGGTTGTGTGGCTGTCATTGTGGCTATGGATTCTGAGTCTGTTCAATTGTTGTTTTGGTTGAATCCATTTTGTGAAGTTTGAAAAACAAAAAAAAAACTAATCTTATGGCCTTGTTTTGCAGGTTTAGAGAACAATGACTTAGAGAGGATTGTAGCGAAGCAAAGGTTGTGCTTTGATATACCATGTCAGAGTTAAAGATTGAAGGTGGCAAAAGGGCACACGACTGCCGAAGAATGCCTACAAAGGGAGCTTGATAAAAGGGCAGAAATGAAGACCAAAGAATATCAAGCGAGGACAATTGTAATTGTTACTTGTATATTGTAAAGAGTATATGAGCCAATTTATACAATGACTTTGAATACAATAAAGGTAATGAAATAATACATGAAGGAAACACAATAAACAAAATATTACAATGTACAATCAAATAATTGTAAATCAACAATTGCTTGATTCCAGCATGAATATCTTCAGCATTCCATATTTCATATTAGATATGTGGGTCACATGTCAGCAGTCTGTTTCATAATCTATTGAAATTAGAGTTTCAATAAGGACAGCAGCCTGTTCTTCCCCTGTTCTCGGCGGAGACAAGCATGTTATCAGTCGGGAAGAGCATAACTTGTCGTGTGCTTTCATTACTTTGCCTCTCAAATCTTGTATTTGTATTTTAGTTACTTCAATTTTGCTTAGTGTAATATTTTGTCAAAATCAGGAGAAGGAGCAGTAAACTGGAGGAACAAGTTGTCTGCTTTTGATAGATCTACATTAGATTTCATTAAACATCAATCAATCTTGGTATATTTTATTTCCTGTCACGAAATTTTTACAAAGACTACTATTAATGCAATATGCCTGTGGATTCTCTTCATATGCAGCCAGGTGACATGTTGTGATAACAATCATTACGTTATAAATATTGTAATACTTCAGAAAGGAATTAAAAAATGATGCAATTCTGGATAATTAGTACTAGCTTCGATCTGGTATAAAAAAAAATTACATTTGATTGAGATAATGCAGCACTGTACTTTGTGTAACTTCATCTGATTTGACTCTGAACTTCCCCTTTAAAGGGCAAAAAGGGCAAAAAAAAAAAAAAAAAAGGATGGATTCTCCTCACTTTTATACAGATATGCTTTATTTCCCACAGTTTTTTTGGTTGAAAAAGAGACGGTAGTAAAGCCTAAATAGCCATTGAAATTTTAGTTCAACGAGCCTAAAAGAATTGTTGTTGAAAAAAGAACACCTTGATTATACAGATCCATAGCACTAGAAAAGTTTTGGTGACTTTATATAAAGTTTTCATCACTTAGGAGAATGGTTGATACTTGTTTTTTTTCTGTTCTATTTCAGTCTTGTCAACAGAAATGTAGTCATCAACAGAGTAAACTTATAAAGTGAACTTATAACATTAATCAAATGTGAAAATGATAGCCTCAAATACTCTTTTCAAAGTTATCAACAGAGTAAAACTTATAAAATTAATCAAATGTGAAAATGATAGCCTCAAATACTCTTTTCAAAGTTAGTAGCAGGGTGGGAGACTTTCTTGACAACTCATAGGAGGAGAATTAAATTATATTTGGAAAATCTTGAGTTTACTTAAGCTCGAAGCCTCTAAATTAAGTAAAGTAAACGACATTTTCCCATCCAGGGTTTGGCAAATCTCCGGGCCCACCCCTAGTTTCATAAATTACAGATTCCCACCCTTAAATTAACACCGATACTTTTCTCTAAAAATAACCACTACATCTCAAATTCTCTCAAATAACCCCAAAGGATCCCAACTAAGCCAAGAATCCAGCCTAATTCCGGCACCATTGGACCTCCCTGACATCACCATTAACATCCTCTTATCCTTCTCACTCGATTGCAACTCGGCGAGGTGCCACATTTGCTGGAAAGGTGCGACAAAACGCGAAAACCTAAGGGAGAGCGGCGCGATCGGCAGGCAATTGCGGTCGGCAATGTTGGGGTTTTTTATGGGGGAAGCCAGTGATGCTATTGGTGGTGTTAGGGTGGTTTCCAGTGCCGAGACCCGGGAATTTGGATAAAATGCCGATTGAAACTAAGAGTAGCGGCTAGCGATTGGGGTTTAATAAAGCAAGGAGGTTGGTTTTGATGTGAGGGTTGAGGGATTGTAATGGTAGTGTCGAGAGAGGTCAGCTGCGTTCAGCAAGTCGGAATGGCTTGAAATCGCGGTGGGGTATTTGAGAAGTCAAGGGTTATTTTG